GAAAGATACAATTCATTACGATGTACAAGTTTACTTATAATACCAAAGTCAATTTAATTAATAAAAAAAATTTTTTTCTTATGACGTTAATGTATGTATTATTATTCTGATTTTGGTAAAGTCGGTCATTTTTGCTAGGTGAGTGTACATTGATATTGTTCCTATTCATATATTAGTAATATGATGCTGGAGATATATTTTCTTCATTAGTGAATACGTTTTGAGACCAAATTGCTTTGAAAATATATAACGTATCACAATATCTAGCATATGGGTTGAAATCAGGTTCTGTGAATTTTTTAACAAAATTGAGATTTTTATTGCATTTAAATTTTTGATGTTATTATATTAAAATGCATTAAGCTCTTAATTTAGTCAAAAATTATGGAACCTGATTTTTCTAGAAATCCTCCCATATTATCTTTCTCAGAAAGTTTAGCTAAGTTAGGGATGTCTAAAATAATATGTGGGTTATTCAGTATAATAGTTATGGCGCTATGAAAATATTTGATAATACAAATACTTACGTTCTTTAGGAAGGCCATACCAAAGGTTACCATGTTTATTATAGACTGGTAAACTTAAAAACATAACTGATCAGGAAAAGAACAACTTTGATATTAAAGCTGTCTTATTTATTTATCACATTGCAGTCATTCAAAACAATGGCTTTAGAAGAGATATTTTCGTTTAAACCACATCCTCTATTAAAAGTTTACTTTTAACATTAAGATAATTATCTTCATTTGACATTGGAATCACTTGATACAATGTTTTTAATTCTTCTTGAACCGAAATCTTTCTCTCTAGATTGGGAATCGGCTCTATAAGCCTTTGCTCTTCTTCTATAGCATAATTGACATTTGGGAGGATTACTATTAAAATCGAGTTATGATTTTAATAGCTTACCTCCCATTTTATGCTCTATTACATCAAAATTCTGAAATGTATAATCAACATATTATTAGAAGTCATCAAAAGAATAACAAAATCTTAATCAGTGCTTAGAATTTTGACGTGTCAAAATTCTATACATTTTCATTGTGATCAAGATTATATTTCTAAAAAAAATATTTTTTACGGTACCCTTATCTGTTCAATTGTAGAAATTATATTACCATAGAAAATTGTTATTTCTCAATCAGCGTGGAAAATGGTGTGTGTGCTTTGTGATATTGGTACTTGCTTACAGTTGTAAATAAGAATACCATAGCTTCCTGTCTGATCATATGTTTTTGGAGGATAAATTATTATTCAATAATTTTCCAATATAATATCATAAATTTATATACAGAATATGAAATATACCTCATATAGATCTTTTAACCATACCATCTAGATTTTCGCATAAAATCAACTGTAGAGTTGATATTGGTTATATTAAAGCCTTTCAAGTTTAAGTTCCTTGGATTAACAAATCCAAAACATAATACGTTAGGTGTCTGATGTTTTCATGACCGTATAAAGCAATGACTTCGTCAATAGTCTACAAATTAATATAATTCATATCATAAATTGTTGAATATTTATATTTTTGCTTAAAAATGATTACGGTACCGTGTCAAGGCTAGCGAACAATTCTTGTTACTACTTCGTAATTCAAGAGAACTGCCGAGTGAGTTAAAAGATATCACTGAAGTTTTGAGAAGTTGCTTATATTCAAATTCATCTTCTTTCTTGAGTAACTCGACATTATTGTCAATTTGTAGTCGAAGAAAGTTCAAGTAGAAAGGTAAGGTTTGAATGATAAGCCTTAAGTGTGGTTCAATCGAGCGTAGACATTTTACTATAATAGAAATGATTATTCACGTTTAAATATACATTTAATGTTTTTAAATACTTTATTTCATTATTTCTTACTCTTTTTTCAAAAATAGAAATTTTTTAAAACTTCGTGTTGTCTCAATAGGCTGCAGAAATTATAAGAATTATTTTTTGCAATTATTTAAATACACCTCATCAAATTTATTACATAACAAGCATATCACGTGAAATGATATTGAGTATACATTTTATATATGAGCGTCCTTATCCTAGACCCCTGGTTCAGGGTGAAAATTATAGACCCCCAAGGTCTAGGCAAATTAACTTAGACCTCCCTCCTTTTTTAGTAATTCCAAAATTGGTAGATAGATTGGAATTTTTTTTT